CTGCACTAAGCAGAAGTTTACAGGCTGGCAGAGGCTTGGGCACAGCTGGCGATAGAGCTTGAGAACGGAATAAGACCTCCCTATTGCTGGAGGTTTGAGAGAAATATATCTTCCATCCCATTGCTAGAGGTGGGCTTAGCAGAACTGAGTAGGAGAAGCAGAACTGGGAAGTAGGCTAGAACTGAGTGGGAATTGTTAGTGGGTTGTTTTGGGGAGTGGTGCTGTAGAAAGACAAACCACCACATTTCAACCCTAGTAATTACACATAACTGCTGCAGTCACTATGTTTTCTGCATTAGGAACCATTTCATTAAATGCCTATATTATGTAGGTAAGTTTTGAAAATAAGAAACAAATAAATACTAATGAATCAATCTGACAGCTCTCACATATGTAACAGGGCAAAGGTGCCCTAGCTCCAGGTAAGGAGAGATGAGTAATTAAAGGAAATAATTATTATGTGTTTGTTTAATTGAAAATTCCCTGAGGGAAAATGAGATAATTTTAAATAAACGCTTTCACCAGTGCATTAAAAATACATTTATGATCAAGTCTGGATTCTCAGAGGCAGATGGGCTGGCTTGCAGGGGAACAAAGAGCTTCTGCAGCAACCTACTGCAAGAGTGTATTGGAATGGGATTTAGTCATAAGGGGGAAAAGATAAAACTAAGGGAGTGATTTTTTTTTAAAGCCTGAGCAGATGCTTGCAGAATTTCTTTGTGGTGGTTGGTAGGAATCACTCATTGGATTTTCTCATCTTCTGGGCAGGGCAGGAGAAAGAGTTTTGGACTTGCTGGGAAAATATTTTATACCCTCAAAATCTATATACACTGAAGTAGGTATGTTTATGCACACAAAATATACTCATTTGTTCTCCATGGCTGTATCAAGTTACATCTACCTATGAACAGGATTTTCTCAATGTTTCCTTGACTTTGCCAGGTTCAAAACAAGGTTCGCAAATCTCACATAACATTACGGAATTTGCTGATTATCTTGAAGGTAAAGTCAGACGCAAGTCAGTTTTGGCTGATGGTTAGTGGGAAACTGGTTTTATATGTATCTAAACATTGCATTCAGCATGTTCTCATCTTAATCAGTTCCATCAGTGTAACAGAGTATGAGAATCCCTAGAATATAAATATGTAATTCTCTGATCTGTGCCTTTCAGTCTTGAAGTTCAAAGACTTGAAATGTTACTGGCTCACAACTGGCTGTTGACTACAGGCTAAGGATGCAATGATATGTCTAAAATCAAAACCTGATCTCGTCATTCTCCTGGGCCTACAGTGGAATACATACTAATGTTTTAGTATGTTACCAAGCAATTATTATGGTAAGTCCTGAGATATAGCAGGCATGGTAGATGCTAAACAAGAATTTCATTCCTTAATGGACCATTTCCTTCTTACCCTGCAGTTATGCCATATTGCCCAGGTCTAGAACTTTGTATTTGTAAGTAGTTTGTCTTTAAAAAAGTGACTTGCAGGGTAACACTTCAGATATTACTGCAGGCATTTCTAAAGGATTTTTCTCCCTCCTGCACACACAGATTCTTCAGTCTTGTATATTACATCCCCTCTATTTGGTTGACAACATAGTAAACAGTGAGATTTTTATTACGCAGAAGGTGCCTTCTTAGAAGCTCTGAACCTGTGGGTGGGCTGAAATATGTTACTTTCTGTGTTTTTATGCTTTTTCATTCACACCTGTGAAATAATATTGTCTGTCATCCTAGGCAATTAAATCCAATCAAGCTGCAACTCTGCAAGTACCCTTGGACAAGACAAGACCTTGTCAAGTGCTTAACCTTCATCTCAACCCTCTGCTCAACAATGATGTGATTTCAGCTACAAGAGCTGGGACTTTTTGGTGACTGGAGTGATTTGGCAGAGCAAAAGTCAGATAGGAGCTGTTACACAATTGTTTACAAAAGTTTTGAGGGGAGGCTTATTTCTGAGACAGGAAAAGGGAAAAAGGAGGGTAGTCCAGGCATTGATTCTTGCAGCAATCCATGGCATAACTCTGCCGATCTCTTAAAGTAGTTTTTTTTTGGTTTTTTTTTTATATGTGTATCTATTTTCCGCTTTCATGCAAGGCTACAGAAAATTAAAAACATTCTGCATTTTTTTAAGGGTTCTGTTTCCATTTGAAAATAACCTTAAACACTGAAGAAGAGTGTGAATGACTGGAAATTGTCTGGGCTGATAGACCCTCTCCTCCCTCTGCTGGCCCTCACAACATATGCACAAAATATCCTTCCAAAAATGCTGTTTTTTTCCTTTTTATTGAAAGTTGGATTTCTTCTGTGAAATAATTTCAGAAAAGTTCATACAGATTAAAAAGATGAAAAATACAGAAATTTTCAACGAGCTTCAATCCTTTGTTTTTTAAACTATTGAAATCTCTTCACTCATTAATTGAATTTCATGGAGATTTTTATCTTGGTGTCAGTGCATACATAGACATCTGGAGCGGTGCTCACGAGGCCCCAAAGCCTCTCCATTCTGTCAGAAGCTAGACCAGAACCTCCTCCATTTCCAGCTTGTCCCAACCCACCAGACTTGCTCTTGCAACTTACATTCCTCAAAGGATGTGTGAATTCCCTGGAAAGGTGCGTCAGTTACCCTTGCCTGACTGTGCCATTTCCCTCCTTTTCCAAACTCTGGCTGAGACAGAGCTGTGGATCGGTGCCATCTGGCTGAAGGTCAATCCAGATAAGGCAGAAGACATGCTGCTTGGCAGAGACAGTCCTGAAGAACTGAAAGACAGTGCCTACTCCATCTATTTAAAGGCTTCATCCTTTTCTCTCCAAGTCATTTGTGAGCTGATGTAGCCCCAGTCCTGAACACTTCAATAGCAGTGATGTCTGGAAATGCTCTCTTTCTTTTTGGTCTACCCAGGTGATCATCTCTTTTCTCTGGGACTTTCACTTGGTTATCTTTGCCATTTCAAGGCTAATCTAAGGATGCAGGCCCTACCTTGGGCTACCCTGGAAGGCTGCTTGGAAGTGTCATCTAGCACAGAGCACAGCTGCCCATCTTCTGAGCAAGGGAAACTGGCAGGAGCATATCACACCTGTGCTCCATGCTCTGAACTGGCTGCCAAGTCACTGCTGGGTAGCGTCCAAGACTGGTTAAATATCGATAAAGCCGGAAATGAACTAAACTCTGACTGATCCAGGTCTGCTTTTCTGCCTTGCCTAGTCACAACACCTGAAATACCATCTGAGCCCAGATCCGTAGTCTTATGGCTGATGCCCTGCTTGATTAAGAATTTCCATTAACAGCCCATTGCTTTGTGGGGCCTGAACTCAAAGCCCGCAAAATCAAGGGGAGTTTTCCCATAAGCAAAGTGGGGAGTGTTAGCTATAGGAACATTATCAAAAGAGAAGGAAACAGGAGCAGAAAAGCAAAGAGAAGGATGAATGCTTATTTTTGAGCTAGGCTTCCTCATCAAAGAAGAAGGAGATAGATTTGAGAGGCTGTGAAAATGGAAGATGAGGAGATGGCTTCTTCACCTGTTATGATGACATAGGACAGGTATATTCCTTACTTATATAGAAAGCACTTGCAATAGAGGATACCTGAGGAATGTGACTTACTGTATTAGGTCTTTATGCTGATATGTATCATTGTCTGTGATCAAACCATGCACATTAACTAGCTCATTCCCCAGGTTCCCCCAGTATCCTCATGTTTAAACAGTCCACGAGTAAACATGTCAGGCAGCAAGCAATGTGATTTCTTTGTAGTGGTACAAAAAGGGGTTTGGGATTTCTTTTACTTTTGGTTTTTTAAGATTTCCATTCTGGGAAACACTAAGAAAACATGCCTTAGGTGAAGGAACTTCCAGCCCACACATGACTACCTGCAAATCATTGTGCTGGCTATTTTATCACTGGGCAGAGACAAATCTTGGTGATTCCAGCTGCCTGCCTTAGAGAAATGCGGACAGCCTAAAACTGCCGTAAGTGTGGTTCATTCCCTGGCCATATTTCAGAGAATAAAGCAAAATCTCCGTAATTCACTGACCTGATGAGCTTTGTCTTCTCACTCTCTGCTATGCACAGGGCTGTGCAAAGCTGGTTCCAGTCTCCCTTGGTTGCTATGACACCATCATGAACACACTCTTTTTAGTCCACTCACTGAAGAAGCCCCTTAAGGCTGTACGAACTGCAGCCTTGCAGTGAACCAAAAAACATTTTAGGCCCAGTATCTTGTTACTGGTAATGGCTATAGACTATAAGAGCAGGGCAAACATACAGTGAAAATTCCTCTGTACGTTGTTCCGATTTCTAGACAGCTACAGCATAAAGACTTCCCGAGACAGAGACAGTGTCTTTATGTTTTTTTAGTTTGGGGTGAATTTTTCTTCCATTAATTTATTTGGAAGCTTTTTCATTTGTAGTTTTAGCATCCAGAACTTCCTTTGGCAATGAATTCAGAAGCTTAACAGTGAACAAGTCATTCCATTCATTTGTTTTGAAGCTATCAGATGATTAATTTTGGTTGATATTCCCATGAGGCAGTGCATAGTCATTCCTGGTCACCTTCTCTATTCCTCTTTTCATATTATAGACTCTAATTATATGCAGCTTCATTTTTTTCTTTTTCAACCTGTCATTTAGGGTTGCTTCTATAGAAGCCATTCCTTCAGCAAATATTATCACCCACCTCTTCATCCTTTTTTATATCTAAATCCCTGCCTGGCACGGTGAGATGAGAATTGTATGTGATGTTTAGGACATTAGGTACACCTTCAACAGGAGTTTCTACATGCAAAATATTGTTAGCTGTCTTACCAAAGGCACCTGTGATGTGTACAAGTAAGCCAAACTCACAAATGGGACATCTGAGAACTATTCTGAGTTCTCTGCCTGAGGACTGTCTCTACAGCAGCAGCCACAACCAGTATGGGGACTCAGGGATGTTGGTCTGCAGAGTTTGCAGTTATGAAAGAGTGAGAAAAAAGAAATTATTGCTAAGAACATAAGGTACCTGCTATCAGCTATTTGGGTACTCTCAAGGAATCTAGGTATACACTGTAACTCAGGAGTGAATATAAAAGTAGCTCATTCCATCACACAGGCTGGAGAGAATTTCATGCATGTGCTGGGAAAAAAAAAAAAAAATCATGATTACTAAACGCTCCATTTTCTTTTCAAGATGCTGTGCTAGTCTGAAGTGGTGTATGTATACATTTCAGGCAAATGTGTACTTTGTCTTCAAATGAACAGCTTTCAAAATGATCTTTGGTTAAGCTCCCTTTTATTTTTATCTTTTATTCGCCTACAATGCCAGCTGAGGTTACCCATCTCCCGACAGCTACCAAATGGACTCGTAATTGTAAGGCTTGGTGATTTAATTAGACTCATTCTAAACACTCACATTTTTATCAATTAGTTAATGGGCTAAAGAGAGTCTTATTGTTGGAGCCAGGTCATTTGGAAGCTGGAACCTTCGTGAGGGCAAGAAGCTGAAGAACAACAGCGTTAATATCTGTAATTAACCTCACGAGTCCTGGTTTGTTCAATTAGGACTGAACCCCCTCTCCATCCATATGCCTTTCATCAGATGGGCTTTTAATTTGAAATAATTGTTACAGAAAAAAAAATTAAAAAAAAAACCCAAAACAAATAATAGCTTCTTTTTTTTTTTTGTTGTTGATTTGTTTTTTTTTTTCCAAATGCAGACACATAAAAACAAAAAGCACAATCTTGACATACATGCCTGTGAGCTATTTATTAAAGCCTAGTTAATTCACAGCTTCCCTATAAATAATCATTCTAGGTTTTTAAAGATTAACAAAGCTCTTGGTAACAGATATTGTGGGATCTTTTCAAATTGATCCTCCTCTTGTAATACGTATCTGTGTCTTTTTTTTAATGCTGTCTTTTATATGAAAAGAAGTTGGGGTTTTGATTACCTTTTGCAATGTATTAGATGTGATTTCTGTGCTTTGGAGAATCTAATACATCTGGTACCTGTTTTTTTCCCAAGGATGAGCTGTCTGGGTTAAATACATCTGTTATAAATAAGTATAAAACAGTCTATGAGTGTTATTACAGAACTGCGGTAGGTTCAGCATGCCTAACTGTGTATATTAAACACACACATCTATCTATGATGTCTAATAATTTCTATTGTAAATATTTAAATATATATGTTTCTAAATGAGTATATATTTACATACACACATCAATGTGAAGATCAAGCTTTGCTTGTTGTGTTGCATGTGATCTTTCTAACTTTCAAATTTCAATTATTCAATTGAAATGTTTTATTTACATAGCTTATATATATGTAAGTATGTGTATACAAATATATGCATATAAACATAAAAGCCCACTTTCATGGCTTGCTGGACAATAGGCACTCTGCACACCCTTAATCATGAATATAATGTATACACAGTACACATGCCCTTAACACTTGTTACTGCATTTTCATTTTCTTCAACTTATTCATCTTTATTCCAATTGCCGTTTACAGACAAATCCCAGAGCCGACACAGATGATTTTTTTAAGCTGCCTTTGAATTCATTCCGTCAAAAGAGAATAAAATTAATTAGAAAGATTTAAGGATGGGCGTCATCCTTACGGGGCATTTAGAAGAGGGTCAGGGGTAGGAAAGAGGTATTAAAACTATCTCCTGGATCACACTAGGTTCTCAATCATAGGCATTCATGGATTATTGCTTCTACAGAGAAGTATCTTTACCCAGCCAAGACCTGCTCAATTCTATATCCAAGCACCTAATTCCACAGAACTCATGGGGTTGTGCAGATACATAAGGGAGAGGCTGGGGCTGTCAACAGCACCACTGAATTTGGCCGTGGTTGGGATTTCCCTTACAAGGGAGGAATTCACTTCAAAAATGTGGTGCATAGCTAGGGCCAGCCTGATGCCTGCCCCTCAGGAGGGCTGAGACCCAACCCCAGACAATATATAGATGATATTGAGCCTACACAATAATTGGAGACCCCAGCCTCAGCCTCTGTGGAGTCCTGGAGTCACTTGGGCTGTGCAAGGGCCAGAGACCTGGTGCAATCATACAGTATGATCACAGCCCCCAGCCCCACTGCCACCCCGGCAAGCCCAGGCTCAAGCCCAGGGAGGATCATACTCTCTCCAGTGCAATCATTCCCATCACAAAGCATGGTGTGTTCAATAATAATTGGTCCCAAATTAAGTGGGATTAAATAAAAGAAACAAAATATAGCATAACTGCCAAGAAGCCATGCCTTATTTTTTACACAGTTATCATTTTTTTTAACACCTCCAAAGAAAGCGGCAAATTGTTGTGTAAAAATATGTGAAAATAATAATGGTCCTGAAAAGAATGTTTTTCTTCTCTCTGGCTGTTACAAAAACAGTTGACTACTGAGAAGCAAAGAGCAAATTTGCAAGAAAGGGCATAGCACAATAACAGCAGTGACTGTTAGGGGGAACGGTAGGTGCTTTGTTATTTAAGGAACTTCACTGTAATTTTAAATCGTTATTTATAATAGTAATAATGCCAGCCAACTTGTTTCTCCCATTTAACTTAATACACAACCAGCCTAAATAAAAGACTACAAAAGCAGCTGGGAACAGTACAGCTTCCTACTGTAATTGTGTATATGTATCTGAACATCTGATGAGCAGTAGTCTACATTTCCTTATTGTTATAGTCAACAATTATATCTGTGCATGCTTCTCAGATATGGTGCTCTGCTGAGCTTCATAAATGCAGTCTTTGTTTTCTTAATTATTAGGCAGACAGTTCATTCTGTCCCATGTCCAAGTTCCAGACAGGTGGAATAAGGAGGTGGCATCTGTCTTAATATTGAATGCCACGCTTCCCCCATCTGCTGTAATAACAGTGCGGGGCTGCTTGGCTTCAGTTATTCTATTCTGCACACAACTAGGCAGCCATATGCCCTTATGTGCCGCACGTGCCACCAGAGCAAGCCGGCCCTGCCATGCAGTGGCGAGTGGGAAGAAGCCTCGGCGCAGGGCTGAGGTCAGGCACGTGCTGGAGTCAGCAGGTGACAGTCAATACAGCTACTGAGATCCGCTCAAAGCGCCAATAGAAAAGGCCTTCAAAGTCAATTGACAGAATAGAGCACGCTGCCAATCAAATTTTACAGGGCATACCTTCCAGGCTAGGCAAATAAGAAGATTTAGAGCACATGGCAGTTCATCGTTTATAATCCTGTCTTAGCCCAGCATGGCTTAGTGATAGTTCTGTGACAGATGATGAGCACATGACAGCTGGGGGATCTTATACAAACTCATACAGTAAAATTAAAATTAAATTAGTGACACACTTGTACACATTAGTTGTGCAACAGTTATGCAATCTGTTCAAGACCCTTAACACAAACCATCTCTGATTTAAATAATTTATACTGATGCAAAGGTGGTGGGTTGTACATTTTTCCTCTCCCAGAAGGAATGTAGCATTTGCACATTTTTAGCTTTAAACAACTCTGTGCTTTCCATTCTGTTTGTCCTGTCATTTCTCCTTTATGGGGACTGACAGAAAACAAGCAAGTATTTTATTTTTTTTTTTAAGTTGAAATGTTCAGAAGGGCTGTTTTGGGGCTCTGGGAGTATTTTTTTCTTTCTTACTGCACTGTTCAATTCATTATATTATGGTTGGTTTATTTTCCTACATACCTATACCAGACTGCCATTAAAAAAAAATTAAAGCCAAATACAGACAAACATGTCAATCTCCCCCCACAGGATGTAGAGTGGGAAGGAAACCTATAAGATTTGAGTGTTTTAGATGCAAGAGTATAATAAACTGGCTGTTCTTTGGCTCTTTAATCTGATAATCTTGTTACTATTTTATGTTTGTGTGTTGGAAAAAAGAGGAGTAATCACTGAAATGTTGACAGTAGATCTGCAGTTTGAAAAGACTCATAACTTTAAAGCTTAGAGGACCTGATCCTTTTATCCACATGGGTTTGACACCGGACTACCTCTGTTAGCTTCACTGGAGTTACACTGATTTACGCAGTGTAAACATAGACAGGATTCGACCCTGAAATCCTTTTCAGAAGGCTATTCTATATACCAGCAGTGTGTATTTACTGCTTCTTCCCAATCACGAAGCATTTCTCAGTCACTGAAAAAAGAGCTAAGTCGCATAAAGTGTTTTTACATTCTTGCGTAGTGAGACAGATGTGCGAAGACTGTTGTAATGCTGACCTATGCAGCAATAAATCAGGAAATAATATTGATTTATCAGCTGTAATAGTCTGAAAAAATAAAAAGATAAAATCTTGGGCTTTTTTTTCCGTTGAGCAAAACTTTTATTTATTTGCTCATTTATTTGTATGTGTGTGTATTTAAACTTAATCATGACCAGAGGATGATTTTGGGGGGCTCCTAGCCATGGAAATTTTCACAGTTAGGAAAGGTAATGTATGTATATACTTATGCATAATTGTGATTACAGGAGAGTTTGGGGGCTTCTGGTCATGGAAATGCTCAGTTAAGAAGGCTAGTTTCAGTTCTACAAACTGTCTCTAGATTAGGCTCCTATTTCATATATAGAAAGGAATAATTCAGAATAGCCATCCAAATGTTCATCCAGTCTTTGAAAAAGGTCCAGTCTTTGGAAAAAGGATGGTTACTCTTTTACGTTCCCTTATGTTTATGTTAATAAGGTCAGTGAGAGGAAATTTGATTTTAAATTTATTTATTTATTTATCCTTACTATTTTTAGCATCCTCCTTTTCCCTGGGGGCTCTAACCATTTCCACCAGCTGTAATGCTCTACAGTTAAACTCAGCTCACCTGATGCTCAGTGAGGATGATTCATCTAACCGCTCATATCAGAAAGATGCAGACGGGGGCTGCATGGTGAGGTGGCTCTAACTCAGACCAGGTGTGAGTGCAGCTGCAAGTGGTCAATTCTGCACGTAATATGCCATGGGCTGTATGTTCCTTGTGCAGAGCCATGAGCAGTGCTGGTCCCAGCTACTGCACTCATGGCAGTGGGTAGACTGAGCAAGGGCATCCAACTGGCCTGCCACCTCCAGGGAAAAAGGCTTCAGACCTATGCTGCAGTTCTGACAACCAGAAAAACATCCCACATGCTCCTTACCTGCTGATTCCAGGTATTAATATTACATCTTCTACTGTGTTCTGCTCTTTCCTGGACCATCTGTGCCAAACAAATGCAGTGAGGTGCAGAGAGGCAAGAGCTTTTGCCTGTCAGACCAGTTCAGGTCCTGAAGGACAGCCACATCAATGTGTTCCAATGCTGGGCCAATGAATCCCGGTGTGGCTGCCATTGTTTGGGTACTCTTTTCTCTGACCCCAGACTAACAGCTCCACATAGCTCAACCAGACCAATTTGCTGAAGAAGCATGACTCAAGCTTTGTCTGTGGCTGAAAATGACAACTCTGGGGCACGTCCCTGGTCTGGTTTTGTCTCTTCTGCCATGCCATGCCATTTCACAGCCTCCAGACCAGAAGTCAAACCCTGCATGAAGACAAGATTCAGCAAACCCATTCCTGTACTGAGTTTCATTTGCTCCCCAGTTATTTCTGGTCTGTTGAGAAGCACTGTGTCCCTCAACTTGGCAGGTTGTGAGGTGCAAAAAGACACCTTTATCCTGAGTATGAAAGGAAGCAGTGGCCTGGGAGAAGAAGAGTGAGCTCATCTCTGCCTGGAAATGGTTACACAGAAGTGCACGTAGACTGCTGTTGTGGCCCCAATACTGTGTGACAATCACAAGGCCCCTGGTACGCACAGCTGAAAGATATTTTATAGAGAAATTTTTTTTTTAAACTTTTAAGAGCTTTGAGACATGGTTTTCTTCCTGTTCTCTGTTTCTTCTCCCTGGGGCTGGGTAACAGCAGGTTTTTCTGGCAACATGAGTCCAATTGTGCAGGTTTCAGAAGGAGAGAAAAACGGTGTATAATCAATTGTATATAATAAAACTCAGGGGGAAAAAAGCCTTTTCCATGCTGCACAATATCAGAATTCTGAAATTGGACACTGTATTTAACAAGGCTAGAAAGAGAAG